GGTAATGCAGTGTCCTTAGGAGATTGTGCAATGTAAGGGAGCTCTGTGTCTTCTGCTAAATGGTAGTGGGTTAATCCAATTATGTTCTGAAGGGTGATTTCTTAATCCCATCACCCTGGAGCTGAAGGGGGAGGAAGCTGGGGCTCTGAGTTTCTGTCTCCCTTAAGACTTTTTAATTCTCTTTTAGGGAAAATATTTTATCCTGCCTTTTTTAATATTTCTCAAAATATTTCATTCTTCTAGGAGTGGTGTGACTTCCCATACTAGGATAATGTTTCAGGATCCAATCTGAATTGGTCACCAGGACCAAAGATTATTCTTCCAAGCTTCAGCAGGACTAGAAAAACCCTGCTGAAGAGGATCAAAAGCTTATCTAATCCAGAATTCTGTTTCCAGAGTAAACCGACTTGGAAAACCGAATTGGAAATTGACAGGAAAGACTTTAGTAGAGTGAACTCTCCCAGCTGATATTGAAATATCAGCTATTATAGTTTCCCTAGTGCTGAAAATAATATGGTAAGAGTTTTTCTTCACAAAATTTTTTCATTCCCTTTGCAAAATAGTCTTACCTCCTTGTTTTGTGAAGATGAAAGGAAGGTGAGAATTTTTTGGTAGTAGGCTGAATTCCCACAATAATTACATTACTTAAATGCAATTAACTAGCTGATAACCCAGCATTCCTGGGTATTTATTTATCCCAATCCTGTATTATACAGGAAAAGGAATGAATTATATCTATAGTGTCAAATCAAAGTAACTAGATGTAACAGCTCTATCTCTCCTATAGTGTAGTCAGGCCTCACGGTGTTGTACTGTTTCTGAATGTCTACATGTAGCAGCTCTATCTCTGTAATCTGTAGTCAGGACTCATGCTGTTGTACTGTCTCTGAAGCTCTAGTTGTAGTAGCTCTACCTCTCTTATCCTTTAGTTGGGCCTCATGCTGTTGTATTGTCTCTGAAGTTCTAGATGTAGTAGATCTCTCTTGCAGCATTGCAAGTCTTCTATTCCTCTGCTCAGGAATTTCTTGTCTACGCTAGTGTTTCATTTTTGTAGCCTTTGATTGCACTTGGCCAATCACCTGATGTTTCCTTGGAGGCATCTTGGGCCTGGGCCTGTTACGTCAACCACTGTGGTAAGAATTAGAGACCTAACTGCTCTGACCAACAGCCTTGGGAAAATTCCACAGGGAAGAGCCTTTGAGGTGATTATCTGCATTAGCAGGCACCTCCCCCAACAACTTGCCCTCTTTGCTTGAAGCTGAGGGCCCCTTACCAGAGGGACCCCCCTTGTTTTTTGAAAGAACTAATCCCCCTTTTGGGAGGGGATTGTGGATTATTGTGGGAGCCCCCTTGTGGATTACTGTGAAGCCGTTACCATAGCAACTCCACTGTGCTGTACAGTATAAGCCATTTTAAGGCACACATACCTCTAAAGGGTATTAGGGGTTTCTTACCCACACAGTATTTGTTTTCAGAGAGTAAATAATTTGTGTATCACATTTGGTTGAAATTGCTCGCCATCTTCACTCGCTATTTTCAGGCTGGTGCTTTCGGCTTCATGCTTCTACGATCAAAGCGTGATCAGAGCTGCCGTCTCCCTATGTATACTGCTTGTGTTGTCATTTCTTGATTGGTTGATGGAGTTGATGTTTGCAGATTGGCTGGCTTTTTCGTAAGAACATGTGTGGCTGAGGTATTGGCTGTGTGTCTATCAGCCTCCTGTGTTGTAACGACCTGGCTGTATGATGACCTTCTGAGTTCTATTGTTTTGACATCCTGGGTCTTGTGCTGTAATCTCCTGGGTTGTAATGACCTGGGTCATGGGCAAACGGACACACGCCATGAACACATATCCAGGCCTCAAACTCGGAGCCAAACCAAAACCCGGAACATCACATCACAGCCACCCGCTCAGGATATCACATCACGGAACTCAGGAGGTTACACCACAAAACCTCAGGATGTTGCAACAAAGCCAATGACCCAGGAGATTACAGCACAAGACCCAGGATGTCACAACAATAGAACTCAGAAGGTCATCACACAGCCTATTACCCAGGTCGTTACAACACAGGAAGCTGATAGACATGCAGCCAATACCTCAGCCACACATGTTCTTATGAAATATATTTGTTTTCGTAGATTTTCACGGTTACAGGTATGTAGGTCTAGGTGTGTTCGGGTACTCTTAATCTTACACGAGAAAAGACCT